TAGAAAAAAAATTCATTTAATGAATAGGAGGCACACGTACACTTTGATTGAATACGCAACAATTGTTTCTGCTAATCTTTCTTGACTTCACGGTATTCAATGCCAAATTTAAAAATTGAAAATATTTAATGAATAAAAGGGGACACGTGTCACATCCTCAGAAAACAACTATACTTTTATATATAAGATAGAAAAAAAATTCATTTAATGAATAAGAAGCACACGTACACTTTCATTGAATACGCAACAATTTTTTTTGTTAATCTTTCTTGACTTCAAAGTATTCAATGCCAAATTTAAAAATTGAAAATATTTAATGAATAAGAGGGGACACGTGTCACACCCTCAGAACACAACTGTATTTTTATATATAAGATAGAAAAAAAATTCATTTAGTGAATAGGAGGGACACGTAGATTTTGATTGAATACACAACAATTGTTTATGTTAATCTTTCTTGACATCATAGTCATCAATCCCAAATTTAAAAATTGAAAATATTTAATGAATAATAGGAAACACGTATCACACCCTAAAAAACAACTGTACTTTTATATATAAGATAGAAAAAAAATTCATTTAATGAATAGGAGGCACACGTACACTTTGATTGAATACGCCGCAATTTTTTCTGCTAATCTTTCTTGACTCCACATTATTTAATGCCAAAAATTAAAAATATTTAATGAATAAGAGGAGACACGTGTCACATCCTCAGAACACAACTGTACTTTTATATATAAGATAGAAAAAAAATTCATTTAGTGAATAGGAGAGACACATACACTTTGAATGAATACGCAACAATTGTTTATGCTAAGCTTTCTTGACTTCACAGTCTTCAATGTCAAATTTAAAAATTGAAAATATTTAATGAATAAGAGGAGACACGTGTCACACCCTCAGAAAACAACTGTACTTTTATGTATAAGATAGAAAAAAATTTATTTAATGAATAAGAGGCACACGTACACTTTGATTGAATACACAAAAATTGTCTTTGCTAATCTTTTTTGACTTCACAATATTCAATGCCAAATTTAAAAATTGAAAATATCTAATGAATAAGAAAGGACGCGTGTCACATCCTCATAAAACAACTGTACTTTTATATATAAGATAGAAAAAAAATTCATTTAGTGAATAGGAAGGACACATACACTTTGATTGAATATACAACAATTGTTTATGCTAATCTTTCTTGACTTCAAAGTATTCAATGCCAAATTTAAAATATTTAATGAATAATAGGGGACACGTGCCACACCATCAGAACACAACTGTACTTTTATATATAAGATAGAAAAAAAATTCATTTAGTGAATAGGAGGGACACGTACACTTTGATTGAATACACAACAATTGTTTATGTTAATCTTTCTTGACATCATAGTTATCAATCCCAAATTTAAAAATTGAAAATATTTAATGAATAATAGGAAACACGTGTCACACCCTAAAAAACAACTGTACTTTTATATATAAGATAGAAAAAAAATTCATTTAATGAATAGGAGGCACACATACACTTTGATTGAATACGCCACAATTTTTTCTGCTAATCTTTCTTGACTTCACATTATTCAATGCCAAAAATTAAAAATATTTAATGAATAAGAGGGGACACGTGTCATACCCTCAGAACACAACTGTACTTTTATATATAAGATAGAAAAAAATTTATTTAGTGAATAAGAAGGACACATACACTTTGATTGAATATGCAACAATTGTATATATTAATCTTTCTTGACTTCGCAATCTTCAATGTCAAATTTAAAAATTGAAAATATTTAATGAAGAATAGGGGACATGTGTCATACCCTAAAAAAGCAACTGTACTTTTAATATAAGATAGAAAAAAAATCATTTAATGAATAAGAGGCACACGTACACTTTGACTGAATACGCAACAATTGTTTCTGCTAATCTTTATTGACTTCACGGTATTCAATGCCAAATTTAAAAATTGAAAATATTTAATGAATAAGAGGAGACACGTATCACACCCTCAGAAAACAACTGTACTTTTATGTATAAGATAGAAAAAAAAATTATTTAATGAATAAGAGGCACACGTACACTTTGATTGAATACACAAAAATTGTTCCTGCTAATCTTTCTTGACTTCACAGTATTCAATGCCAAATTTAAAAATTAAAAATATCTTATGAATAAGAAGGGACACGTGTCACATCCTCAGAAAACAACTGTACTTTTATATATAAGATAGAAAAAAAATTCATTTAGTGAATAAGAAGGACACATACACTTTGATTGAATATAACAATTGTTTGTGCTAATCTTTCTTGACTTCACAGTATTAAATGTCAAATTTAAAAATTGAAAATATTTAATGAATAAGAGGGGACACGTGTCACACCCTCAGAACAAAACTGTACTTTTATATATAAGATAGAAAAAAAAATTAATTTAGTGAATAGGAAGGACACGTACACTTTGATTGAATACACAACAATTGTTTATGTTAATCTTTCTTGACTTCACAGTCATCAATCCCAAATTTAAAAATTGAAAATATTTAATGAATAACAGGAGACATGTGTCACACCCTAAAAAAACAACTGTACTTTTATATATAGATAGAAAAAAAATTCATTTAATGAATAGAAGGCACACGTACAATTTGATTGAATACGCGGCAATTTTTTCTGTTAATCTTTCTTGACTTCACAGTCTTCAATGCCAAATTTAAAAATTGAAAATATTTAATGAATAAGAGGGGACACGTGTCACACCCTCAGAAAATAACTGTACTTTTATATATAAGACAGAAAACAACCATATTTTCTTCATCTGTAGGGTTTGGATCTTTGATCATGTTCTTCCATCCGGACAGGAGGAGGAGGAGGAGAGAAAGGTAGAACAAAGGGTAAGAGTTAAATATGCTCGTTTTGGAGTAGTCTTAGTATGGGTGATCTTTGGGAAGTATTTTCCGGAATGTGTGTGAGTGAGGACAAAACACGCTAAAAGGTCCCGTGTTGGTGTGTGGAGACAGTCCTATCATTCCGTAGCGGTCTCGGGTCGTTACACGTATACTTTGATTGAATACACAACAATTGTTTCTGCTAATTTTTTTTGACTTCACAGTCTTCGATGCCAAATTTAAAAATTGAAAATATTTAATGAGTAAGAGGGGACACGTGTCACATCCTCAGAAAACAACTGTACTTTTATATATAAGATGAAAAAAAAAATTATTTAGTGAATAGGAGGGACACGTACACTTTGATTGAATACGCAACAATTGTTTCTGCTAATCTTTCTTGACTTCACAGTCATCAATGCCAAATTTAAAAATTGAAAATATTTAATGAATAAGAGGGGACACGTGTCACACCCTCAAAAAACTATTGTACTTTAATATATAAGATAGAAAAAAAAATTCATTTAGTGAATAGGAGGGACACGTACACTTTGATTGAATACGCAAAAGTTGTTTCTCCTAATCTTTTTTTACTTCATAGTCTTCAATCCCAAATTTAAAAATTGAAAATATTTAATGAATAAGAGGGGACACATGTCACACCCTTAGAAAACAACTGTACTTTTATATATAAGATAGAAAAAAAATTAATTTAGTGAATAGGATGCACATGTACACTTTGATTGAATACGCAACAATTATTTTTGTTAATCTTTCTTGACTTAACAATCTTCAATGTCAAATTTAAAAATTGAAATATTTAATGAATAAGAGGGGACAAGTGTCATATCCTTAGAAAACAACTGTACTTTTATATATAAAGATTGTAGATAGGGGTGAGAAAGAGCTGTATCGAAAAATACAATATATTTTTTATTCGACATGTTCTAAATTTTTGAACTATATTATTCTTTAAAAATTGAGTTTTCGTTAAGAAATGAATCGAATTTTAAAAAATACTAAAAACCAAAAACTTTTAAAGAAAATCTATCTTTTTTAATTAAAAATTAGAATCGAACCGACATAATATAAAAAACCGATTGATATTTATTTTCGTAAAATTGAAATGATCCATTCCTATCCAAGCCGAATCGATTTGTGAAACACCGACTCCTACCATGATAAACTAACTAATATCCGGTATATATTTGTAGTTTATTAGTAGGAAATCAAATGTCGTATGAAATATAATAAAAAAAAAAAATAATTTGTACGAATGGCATTATTCTCATTTGCACATTTGTTTTATTGGGAAATAATTTCCACTCGAGCATGCGAATTTTTTTTTTATCAAATTAATTAAATTCAAATCAATGTAAATAAGAAAAAAAAATTACATTTCAAAATCACAGTTGCAAATTAGTTACATGGGTGTACAATACAAACTACTAAACTACTAAACGAACGTTATATAAAAAACACTCTTACTTTGCTATTTTTACTTCAACACATATGACAATGTAACTTATGTGACCCAAAATATACTATGATCACATTTTGATTTTATTGATTATAACGTTAAATTCACTAATTTATTATGTTCATACTTTGTATATCTTATTAATCATTTGATTAAAACATCATAAATTTAATGTTATAAATAATGAGATTAAAATGTGACCACACTATATTTCGGGTAATATGAATCACATGGTTACATCTGGAGAAGAGTATGTGTTGAAGTAAAAATAGTAAAGTAAATATATTTTTGATAATGCGCCCCTCTAAACATGTCTTCTGAACCAACTCCGGTTAATATCACCTTTCCAATTATAATTAGCATTCCTCGACTTAAACCGGGCACAGAAATTTTGTTTAACGGCTATCTAAACCAAATCCAGTTATAATATCTTCTAAATTCCAACAATTCTCGACCTAAACCGGGAACAACTATTCTGTTAATGGCCATTTAAACCAAACCCGGTTATAAATTCTTACAAATTCCAAGGGTTATCGACTTAAACCAGGCCGAATCATTTTATTTAACTTGCCATCTAAACCAAACCCGGTTAGTAAGAAAGAAACTTCAAGTTCCAAGTTACCAAGTTTCAACAACGGTTCTGCTACTCTCGCTCGAAACCCTAAATTGTAAATACGAATGATAAGGTTTGGAGTCGGAGTCCTTCGCCTCCGTTTTCCCGCTCCTCGCGTTCTCCACATTCTCTGCTTCGCTCCCCTCTCTTCATTCGTCCCTCTTTCTCTCTCCGGTCGCCGCTGCGTTGTACAGTCGTCCTCCTCTTTCGCCGGAGACTCTACATCTGCGTCGTCAGCGCCGGCCGACATGGTAGGGATGAGATCTCCTCCGGTTGCGAAGAAGGTAGAAAATGTTATGGAAATGTTTGGAGACGTTAGGACGGACAATTATTATTGGCTTCGAGATGATTCTCGCTGCAATCCTGAAGTTTTGTCTTACCTCCGGGAGGAGAACGAGTACACTGATCTTGTGATGTCTGGTAAATCTCTCTTTTAATTTTCTTCAACGATGCTGTAGGATTTTAGGGGTTTTGCCTCAATTATGCTGTGTAATTTGGCCAACTTTGATTTTTTTTCCATGGCGTTTATTTTTATTCCTAAGGATTTTGCAACGAGGGGTGTATGACCCCCTTTGTCAATGCATAAAGGAAATATTCTTGGAAACCCCATTTCTCACAGAATCTGTTGCTTGGAAAATGATGCAGATGACCAAATCTCCCTTTTTGAAAGCGTATGTGTGTATATTTCTTATGTTTTTTTTTTATAATCCGAAAGTTCACCTTGGGTCCAAACTCAGAGACCGGGGAAGGCAGGTGAATACCTAGGGAGCTTTGCTTTATTCCGGTTGAACCATCCAATCTTGGATATATGTGTCGTATGTTTAGATGTAAAAGGAAGCCTTTTTCCATTTCTGTAACTTGTCGCTTAAAAGTAAATGACCTCGTACACTATTTCTTTTTCCATCATATTTCGTCCATGGTGAATTTGTGGGTCTTTTTCCCATAAAACAGCTTCTTTCGATTTCATCATATATGAGTAGCAATTTGGCAGTGCATCCGTTAATGGGACTGTTGCTCTCAGTTTGCATTTAGGACTTTTATGTATCACTTTCACATTCAGAGTTTTGGGATCTATTGATTACACGAGGTGATAAGTTGATCAAAACAATCCAGGGACCAAAAGTTTTGAGGATGAGCTCTTTGCCGAGATAAGAGGGAGGATCAAAGAAGATGATATATCTGCACCTCTACGCAAGGGGCCTTACTACTATTATAAGAGAAATCTTGAAGGAAAGGAATATGTCCAACATTGTAGGCGCCTCATTCCTAACAACAGTACTGAGCCATCTGTTTACGATGTTATGCCAATTGGTCCAGATGCTCATCCGGAGCATGTAATATTGGATGAGAATGTCAAGGCCCTAGAACATGAATATTACAGCATTGGTGCCTTCAAGGTTAGAATGTCAAGACAAGCTAGGGTAGATCTTTGTATCGTCAGTAAAGTCTGTTTCAAGCATTGCTTTATAGTCTTAGAATTCTTTTTCTTACTCTTTGTACAGATCAGTCCCAATCACAAATTGGTGGCATATGCGGAAGATGCTAAGGGAGACGAAATATATACAGTTTATGTCATTGATTCTGAGACTCAAGAAGCTCTAGGACAGCCCCTGAAAGGAGTGACTTGTTATCTTGAATGGGCTGGTAATGATGCTTTGGTCTACATAACCATGGACAATATCCTTCGACCCGACAAGGTGTGTCTTTGAATATTACTTTCTCCTGCCCTGCTGCCTTCGTATGTCATATTGGAAGAATGGTTTGAGTTTGCGTGTCTTCTCTCTAGAACAAAATTGTAATGTTTTTTATCGAACAAAGTATATGAATACGCCCTTTAGATGAAGTAATTCTCAGTTCTCTAATTTCCATCTTTCTTGATTGTGAGCTGTATCGAATTTTCAGGAATCGATGTTTTGATTTTCCTTGTTTTTTTTATTAACAGGTTTGGCTTCATAAGTTGGGTACAGATCAATCCAGTGATTTATGCCTATACCATGAGAAGGATGACATGTTTTCACTTGATCTTCAAGCCTCTGAGAGCGAGAAGTATTTGTTTGTCGCATCTGAAAGCAAAACCACAAGGTTCAGCTTCTCACTTGATGTGTCCAAGCCTCAAGATGGCCTCCAGGTGTTGACACCTCGTGTAGATGGCATTGATACATCTGTCAGTCATCGTGGAAATCACTTCTTTATTCAGAGAAGAAGTAACGAATGTTACAACTCAGAGTTGCTCGCTTGCCCGATACATGACATATCTGAGACAAATTTGCTGATTCCACATAGAGAAAGGCAAGTGTCTTTTCCTGGATCCATTTTTACTGTGAGTGTTCCTATCTATAACAAGAATGAGATCCAACTGCTTAGTCTCTTATACTGCACAGTGTTTGAATTACTAAAACCTTTTCTTTTACAAAGCAAGTTTATGTTCTGGTGCCTTAGATTGACGCTTACTGTATCCAGGTCATTGGATTTTGGAGTAAATAGGTTTGCAGACTCAGATATCTCCTTTGATAACCTTGTGCATTCTGGATAGATCATAGATGTAGAGACTGTTAGTTTCTTTCATTCTGCTGCAGAGCTTGGCATCCTGCCCATCAGCTGTAGGCATCAAAAAATGTTTTGTTACATCACATCATCATAGTAGCATCAATATGTTTTAGATTCACTTAGATGGACTTTGTGTGAGTACAAGAACTGGTTTCAGAACTCATTCATCCTCATTTATGACATGAATAAACAGTAACCTCGTTAGTAACGCCTGTTTCCAGAAACATATTTCACGAATTTCATTTATGACTAATTGCAATAGTAAACTCCATACCAATGCAAAGTATATGTTGTGGTCCACCGATTTTTATATGGTTTGGTAAAATAAAACCTAGCTTGATTTTGTTGTCTTGATAAATTAATGGGAACGATGTATTGTTGGGTTTTTTTTCCTGCATTTTAGCATTAAGACTATGGACAAGGATATCTCATTCTCACCTTGTAGTTCCATGACGCTTGACCTAACCTTTTCATTCACTTTGCAGTGTAAAGATTCAGGAAATTAAACTTTTCCGCGGTCACCTCGCGGTGTTTGAGCGTGAGCACGGCCTGCAAAAGATTACTGTCTATGGGCTTCCAGCTGTTGACGAGCCACTGAATAGTCTTCAAGGTGGTCAAAGTGTTAGATTTGTTGACCCTGTGTATTCAGTTGATTCAACCGAGTCCCAATTTTCTTCCAGTGTTCTGAGATTTTGTTACAGCTCAATGAAAACACCTCCTTCTGTGTATGATTACGATATGAACAGTGGCACTTCTGTTCTCAAGAAGATTGAAACAGTAAGTATCTGTTAATTCATTTTTGGGCTGTCGCATGTGAGTCCTTCGTGCACTGTTTTTTTTTCTTCATATTTGGTCTATAGATTTTTAATCTCTGCAAAACGCACAAGAATATTCATGAAAAGCGATGCTAAGTATGAATCTTGTAGTTTGGTTGCTATGAACTCTATTTCTGTTTACTCTTTTGTTGCTGGCTTCTTGCTTTCTTGCTTTCGGATCTTTTGTTGCTGGCTTCTTGCTTTCTTGCTTGTTGACTATCTTTTGTCAGTTCTCCTCTATATACTCGATCTATTCTTTCAATATTTTTTTAATAATCCATAGATCATATCCTGTCTTTCATTCAGGTATTGGGAGGTTTTGAGGCATCAAATTATGTTACCGAAAGGAAATGGGCAACTGCTCCAGATGGAACTCAAATTCCAATGTCTATTGTCTTTAAAAAAGAGCTTGTAAAGCTTGATGGCTCTGATCCGTTGCTGCTTTATGGCTATGGTTCATATGAGGTAACATTAGCCTAAGGTTTTTTCGTTTTCTCAGAGATTGTCTTGTGAAGTTCCCTTTGGTTCATAAATGCTTTGATGAAATTGTAAGATTCAGACTGAGAAACAGTAAGTTTTTATTTGACTAGAATTAGCAGTACTTCACAATTAATTTCCAGGAAAATCACCAAACCTATGCTTTGAGGCCTTTCTTCTTTTTTTATCATTTCTGGATTTTTTGCTCCTTTCTATTTGGGTTCATGTGGGTGTGGAGGCTGTGAAACATCTGGATTTTGCCTTTATAAACATGGTTTCTTTTCTGTATTATTTATGAAGTTGGTCATATCAGGTGCACGAAATCATAAAGTTGTACTTGTATTGTTTGCAGAATGGCTGTAATTGTCATATCCTCCTCTTTCCTCAGTTACTTTATGCTAAGCTGTGAAATTTCCATCTTTAACAGATATCAGTTGACCCTTATTTCAAGGCATCAAGGTTGTCCCTCTTAGATCGTGGTTTTATCTATGTAATTGCTCATGTTCGTGGGGGAGGTGAAATGGGGAGACAGTGGTATGAGAACGGGAAGCTATTGAAGAAGAAGAACACATTTACTGATTTTATAGCTTGTGCTGAGCGCTTGATAGAGCTTAAGTTTTGCTCAAAGGAAAAATTGTGCATTAATGGAAGAAGTGCTGGTGGGTTGCTGATGGGTGCTGTTCTTAATATGAGGCCTGACTTATTCAAGGTGGCTGTTGCTGGAGTTCCTTTCGTAGATGTTGTGACAACAATGCTAGATCCTACTATTCCGCTTACAACATCAGAGTGGGAGGTAGGCTCCATTCTTCTTTGAACTTTTTTGCAGACGTTCTTGCATAAGTTTTTTATTGTTCTGCATGTTTATGACGAGTATATGTGTTTAAGAATGTTCTTTGGAAACAAGAATTTTCCGTTTTTCTTTGATTGAATGTCATTCGTAATTTCGTATTTGCTATTCACCTGAAACACATATGTTTGCATCTTTCAATTTTATTTTTGTTTTTTTGTAGGAATGGGGTGATCCTCGGAAAGAAGAATTCTATTGTTATATCAAGTCATATTCCCCTGTTGACAATGTAAGTTCCACAATTGTTATTATCTGCCCCTATATTATCTGTAGTAGATTATGTAGAAGTTCTATGTGCTTATTCTTCGAATTTGATTTCACAGATTAAGGCACAGAATTATCCAAACATTCTAGTCACTGCTGGATTAAATGGTAAGCTCTTTATTTTTATATACAATATAACAGTACTTCCTAGCAAAATTGTTGCTGATTTTGTTCTTATATATCATTCTCCAACAACTTTTTTGAAAGTATTTGTCATCTTGCCCATTACATTATTCATTCTCTTGTTAGAATAGCGGGTCACTGTAGGAGATGTTATCTGGAAACCATGCTTTCTTGTAAGCACCTGGGAACAGTTTTTTGGCTTTAATATCTGCCTTTCTTATTTAACACACGAAGTTAAAATATCTCTAGTGTTGAGGAGTCGCCCAATTTATGAGGAGCGAGGTGATATCTTGAACCATTGCTAGCTTTTTTTCTTGCATGTAGTAAGATTTGTTACCAAAATTATGGGATGCTTGTGTGTGTATTTGCTGCTTTGTGCATCAATATACACTTGCTGCTTATATGTTATGTATACATTGGGACAAAACCGGTTTATACGACTTCGACAAATAAATGGTAGAATATGATTGGGGAAGCACGGATTTCGTTTTCATCTTATGAACAACTTAAATCTTGTGCAATTCTAATTTCTGATTGGTCCAGATATCTGACTCCATGCAACTGTTTGCATTAACAGACCCAAGAGTCATGTATTCTGAACCTGCCAAGTTTGTGGCAAAACTGAGGGAAATGAAGACCGACAACAACTTACTATTGTTCAAATGCGAGCTTGGTGCTGGGCATTTCTCGAAATCTGGCAGGTAATTACTGCTTGAACTCTGAGAGCTTGAGCTTTTGTCATTTTGAACAATGCATGCCCATGTAGAAAGATGTAGACACATTTTTATGAAAAATATAGGATAGTTCCTGTCCTGTGTTGAGATCGCTTGGTGTGATTGTATTGAGAAAAGGTCCATTTCGAAAATTTTAGAAACGATCTTTGCCATATACCATAAGAAATAGTCTAAGGTTTTGGATTTATGAATCATGAGCCAAAACCAATTCCGATATATATTTTTTTTTAATTTTTCGTGAGGACTCTGATGATTCGTAGTAGTGTCCATATTGTCCTATTCCTGGGTAACACTTCAAACCATAAATTGGGGTTTAAAATGGACGCTTATCGGAAATGTCAGGATTGCTTTGAACATTTTTATGAAACATATAGGAACCTTTTTTATATGACGAATTCCGGACCCATATGATATATTTTCGAATTGTATTTGATGCGTCGATCTCATCTTTCTCCATGAATCCGATGCTTGTTTGTTGGTTTGCAGATTCGAGAAGCTTCAGGAAGATGCGTTTACATATGCATTCATCATGAAAGCTCTGAATATGGTTCCTTCTGGTGGCTTTGCTGCTTCATGATCTCTGTTTGGGAATGAGTTTCTTCAACGACCACAGCTTAAAAGTGGCAGAAGACTCTCGAATTGAAACACAAAGCATAGACATGAAGACTAAAGTGCGATCTCAAATCCATTGCCGATGCTCAATGAATAATGTTGAAGCAAGTTCTATAAACTATTCAACTTGTTCCATTATTAATGTATGAATTCTGATTTTTCTACAATGATTCATAAAATATGATAAATTTTCTAATAAGATCATAAGTTTGATATGAATGTCGAAGACCACGTGTGAGATTGTCAGGTTTGGTCTTATTTGCCAATTTAAGAGATCATTTTTGTCTTCGTATGAAGCTACAGCGAGTTCCGTGGATGATCCCAAGCAGTGGTGAAAATGTCCAATCGCATGGTATTTCATAAATTTTGGCGTTCTACGTCGATTGAATTCTTTAAAGAAGCATGGTGTTCACCATTTAAGACATGGACCGCTAATAATCAAATATAATTTACGAGCCACAAAACTCTCACAAGATTCACAATGTTAAAAATAATAAAAACTAATAGTATTTTTCATAAAGAAATCTGACCTGCGAATGGGAAAATCACCCAAATAACCCACTTGGGTCGCATCTATTTCTGTGTACACCACCGAAAAAAAAAAAAAATTTTAATTTTAACCCACTTTTCGGTTGGAAAAGTCCAAAATACCCTTTTCGTTTTATTTTTTGCGACCTTATTACGACTAACATATAACTGATATACAACTAAAATAAGACATGTTTTTTTTGCCACCTTTTTTAGAATCAATTGTACCTATATTTAGACTTAATTACGAAGTCGTAATAACGAAGTTGTTTTCGAACGGATAAATATCGTAATTCATTAAGGGTAATTTCGTCTTTTCAGGGAAAAAAAAATGTGTTATGTTTTCGGTGGTGTACAGGTGAAATAGATGCGACCCAAGTGAGTTATTTGGGTAAAAAAAACATAGGGTGTAAATTTAAGTCCAACCCGAAAATTAACAGAATTCGGACCTAAGTTTTTCTACTCGAAAAAAATCGAATTTTTGAACCGGACTCATTTGGGCTCGATTCAAACCGGTCCAAAAACCGGATATTTTTAAAAAAAGAAAGAAAATTATTCGACCCGAAAAAAATCGGGCCAACCCAAACCTAAACCCGAAACCTTCGGACCGAGTGCGGATTTGGACCGGGCCGAACCGGTCTGATTGACACTCCGCACTCGGCCGGACCAACCCGATTGATACCCTTAGTTTGAAAAGCGCGCCTGAGGCGCGCCTAGGCGGTGGAGGCGCGTAGGCGATAAGAAAATCGCCTCCAGACTTGGAGGCAAGGCGAAATACAAGAAGCGATCCTAGGCGCGCCTTTCTGTGCGCTCTGTACAAGGCGTGAGTCGCGCGCCTGAAATATGAGGCGGTGCAATCTCAGAAAATCTGAAATGATGAAAATTGAAGGGGAAAACGTGGGCGAGTGTGGGAGAGAAGTGAGAAAGGCACGTGGAGAAAAAAATCATTTAATTTAAGAAATAAATGGCGTCGACTGATACTCTTCTTTTTAAATACATATATATATATATATATACACTAGACAAATTAAATAATAAGATTCATTATATATATACATTGATGATATTTAAAAAGTTAATTTTTTTTATCAAAACAAATAATATTTACCTATCATTCTATTTTTTAATTTTATTTATATTATTGTAAATTTCGATTATATTTATATATAATAATGCATACTATACTAACTAAATTATATAATCTATGTTTATATAGTTAGTATATAATCTATACTAACTAAACTATAATATATATATATATATATATATATATTGATATAAAAATGATAGGCGCCTCACGTATAGCGCCTCGGTTTTTTGAACCTTTTGCACCTCGTGAGGCCTCGTGTCTTTTACAACCAAATACCCTCCCTGCAATCTGAACCGTGAAGAACGCAAAGTGAACTGCAACTTTAAGATATATAGAGGGGTAAGCAAACAAACTCGTTGCATTATCTTCTCGGCGCATACAGAAACCTAATCCTCATTTGTTGTTTTTTGTAATTTCAACATCTCTTTGAAAGCCTAAACTCAGAATTTAACCGAAGCCAACGGCTAAAATTCGCCTTTGGCATTCACGCAGCCAATTTTTTTTTTTTTAACCGAAAGGGATAGTACATAACTAGTCTAGCAATGAAACCTAATATAAATTCTTTCTCACTTCTGAATGATTTATTACGCCCTTCTTTAGAGGATCTCAAATCACCCGACCGTCAAACCGAACCCGAACTTGTAGTCCTTCTTCTTGTGATCGAGCTGTCATCGTTTATGTAGAAAGCGAATTAACTCGGAAGAAGAGTCTCAGTGAACGTATGTTGAATGATTGCAAGGCCAATGATTGTTATAATGAATGACTTCGTACCTCTGCGGATAGAATGAAATTGAGGCCCATATTCAACCGTTCTTCAAGGTAAGCAGCTGCAACGCCGTTGGAATCGATTTTTCCCCTCAGACGACACTGGTAAACACCGACATCAGACAATTAAGAGTAACACTGACGAAATATAGGAGCCGGGCAGGCAAAATTTCGTCACAGATTATTACATTACATGTTGGAACATACGAGTAGACAATGGGCAACCGAATTCAAACATATGGTCAGACAAAGGGAAAGTGGTAAGTACCTGTCGGAGAATGTAGTCATAACCCACACTGGCTGTAACGTCTCGGGACATATAATTGTACATGAAATCCGTCGCAAGTGAAACCTTTCATGGCCAAAAAGAAAAATTCTGCCCAAGTTAGGTCTACTTGAAAGGCTGAAATGAATTTAGCGAGATCGGTATCTTACCTTCTCTGACACCTTCTGAACATAGCTTAGGGCAACCATTCCAGTGCTAGCAACTTGACCAGTGGTGACCTGTGAATAAAAAAAGTTGTAATAAGGTAGAGCCTGAAACATGAACCTCAAAAAGGAAAATATGACTTTTAACGAAAAGAATAGAAGTGTAGTGATCATAAAGATTTCAGGAACTAAACAAGTTTCTAGATAATGTCTATGAATTCTTTTTCTTGTTCTTGAATCGATTGGAATGGAATGAGAAATCGATTTCTGAGAAAGAGGGTGAAACAGCAACCAGGTGCGGTGTAACTAAAATCTTTTATAGGATAGACTTTAATTCAGAGACGACAGAAGGTTGGAATTGTAATGTAATAGAGACGGCAGATATAAAGGTTCCAAATGGCTTCAAAGAGATCTTGAATGTAAAAGACCTAAAATGCTTAAACCCTTGTTTTGAAGTGCAGATATCCAGCAATCTTCTATCCCAAAATCTCGAGAACCCAAAATAAAACCGGATTTCAGGTGTCAAATTAAAAAACGACAAGAAAAAATGCAAGACATAACATGACACCTTCACAACATTTCTTCAACTGTTTTGACTGAGCACACGTTTGAAAAAAAAGCATATGCTGGTCCCAATGTTTTCATAAAAGATGAGCAGAAAATCTTTCCTCCATGGTTTTAACCTGGAACTAAGGCTGCTCTTTCATCACTACCGGGCAAAAGAACAAAAAAAAATAGTAAAATATAAAAGAACTTAAAAAGAAAAGTAATCGATTTCAAGCTGAACAAATGACCAAGAAGAAGCATTACCATCTTATCTGTCTCATATCTAGCAGCATACCCGATGCCAGACTTCCTATGTTGGCCAGCCCAGAAAACCTCACCACCCAAAGCTAAGCGGGGTGTCACACTCTGTACGATAATTACAAGATTCATCGAATAAGAGGAGCAACTGGTGTTAGTTAAAATTATACTCACACAGATGAATAACAATGTTTACGAAGACTAAACCATCACCATAATCACAAAGTAGAATGACAGAAAGACAGTTCAAATCTCATCTACAAATTTCAAGGAAACAGTGTGAATCTCAGTTCTTTTAACTCTACAGTAATCAGTTTAAAAGGAAATAGATAACTGACTATTACTTATGTGCCAGAAAATGTGGCATATATTTTGAGATCGCTGTCCATTCATCTCCCGTTCATCTCCACAGGCAAAAGCGTCCAAATTTAAAAAAAAAATAACAGCTGAAAGTATGTGTCATTTATTCCATTTTACCTGGATATAGCTTGCGCCGAACAAGGCACCATTTCCAAGTTGAAACTGGGTCCTGTAGTCTGATCCCTACTTTGATACGAAACTTAACTCTTAGAAGGACTCCTCCAAACTAAGTCTCAGCAAAACAGCGCATCAAAGGGGTTAAAAAAGGAAAATACTTTAATCGTTTACTGACCATGTAATCGAAGTTGAACATCGCATGCGACATATGTGGTTCATTTGTGAGCTACCAAAGAAAACAACGAAAGATTGCAGATATGATTATAAACCAAGAGAAAACATTATTCTGCAACCAGTAAAGCAAATACAACATCTCCGATTGCAGCAGTTTTACCTGAGCATTAGCTTTCATGGTCAGCTTATCAGTTAAATCGCACTTCACTCTCGCATTTAACCGACCATCCGTCAAGATCCTTCCGATAAGCATCAACTGTTTAGAGGTTCATCAATTTTACTTACATCTTCATGATTTCCATGTATGGCTAAAAACTAATTACCAGATTAAGTGAAAACAACCTACCTTTGGGTCAATAAAATTTGCACCGAATTCATAATGTGCTGTTGGGATTTTGATTGTTTCAGAGGACTGAGAAGGAACTTCTGTTGGCCCCATCAACACACTGTTTGAAACATCAATAAACATGATTAAAAAGGAAGCACACATAAAAGGATGTAAAATTATGCTAATTAACAGAATCCTATTACCTGTGACTAAGAGAAAACTTCGAATTCAACCCTTTGGTGAAGTCGAAGCGTAACCCCTCAAAAAGTTCAGGCTTTAGTGACACTGCAAAGTGCAAACAAACCAGTCAATATTCTAAGTAGGGAAACAAAATCAAAGGCTCCAACAACACATGCCAGGATATGATATCAAAAGGGTAAAAGCATTAGAAGATCCATACTCAACCTCCATGTGACTAATCATTAAGAGAAACAACATGAAGCTAGTGAATCTATAATGAGCAAATTCTTAGCAAATAGAGTTGAAAAGTGACTAAAACCCAGTGAAGAAAAATCCGCAAATCTAATACCAGACACTTCTTATGGACATGACCCGTCAAAACATACTTTTCCCAGAGATCTAAAACCCATTGTTACAAACTCGTTCCTATTGATGCCAACGCCAAAACTTCGAGGCAACATTACTGAAGTGATTAATTAGTGCCTACATCAAACAGTTCTATCCAATTACATAGTTTCTCCCCTTTTCGAAAATCGAGTTAAAAGGGTCTTGGACCTCCAAAACTGCAGCTTCTTCTCAGCAAAAAACAACCAAATGTTGTAATTGGTAAATATTACATCAGAGTAAAGTAACTTTACCCACTGTGTTATGCAAAAAACTACGAATAAAATCAGATATTGCGTTAGCTAGATAACAGACATAACGATTTTAAAAAACCCAAATTGAAATAAAGCACTCATAACCACAAACGCAACATATAATCCATTTTCACATGAGACAAGGTCAATTAAGAGACATAACAGACACGAGAGACCCTCAAACGCAAGCAATTACAGGGTGAAGCAACACCAAGAGAGCTTGACCTATCCGGTGAAATACTAAGCCCAAATAGAACGAAGCACCACCGATGCTCGAACATAGCGTCCAATTCCCATCTTGAATACCAAGGCAACTCGTACGATATTCATTTTCGACGAGATTGCTCGTTCTAGCAGTCAGATCAAAGACCCAGAAATCCGGAGACCCAAACAAGACGAACCCAGATTTAGATTAATATCACCCAAGACAGAAGTCACGATAGAAACTAGAAACAGAAGATATGCAGGTTATGACAGAGAACGAATGTCTGATACTGAACTGAGAGCTTCTCGGTGGATTTCTTCATAGGGAATAGGGCACGGGAGGTTCGAGTAATCCACTTTCTCATCGACTTTGGTGTTCGCATCGGTTTGTGCCGCCATTACCGGTGGAGAAAGACCCGCCATTGCCGTCGCGTAAGCCTCCTCGAATCCCTTCTTTCTGAGATTTGGGAGAGAGAAAATGGGAGGAGGCAAAGAAACGAAGAAGCGAGGGTTATTTTTTCCGTATGGAGGCTACGCTGTGGGTTTTTGGTTGTTGCTTCAGGGTTTTGCGACCGAGGTCAATTTTCTCCGGTTCGATTTATGTTTCAACCGCTTTAATTCCTAATTTAATTTCATTAAACCGGCTTAAAACCGTTCATTCCTTGCGTTTAACCATCTGATGATCTACACGTAAATGGGGTGTCAATCGGCCCGATCCAATCTAAACCCGCATTTGGTCCGGAAGTTTTGAGTTCGGGTTTGGACTGTCCATTTTTCCAGACCTAAATAATTAAATTCGAAGCCTCGCTCTATAGATTTCGCACCGACCCCAAATCTAATTTGAATTTATCCCGAAAGTCCAAAAATTTTCGGATCTAAATATCACAATTTAAAGCTCGCTACTTTTCGGGTTGGACCAGAAAAAGTTTCGAATCTCGGACCAAAATTGGCAGTGCTATTATGGCTCTTACTTTTGCATTGACACAAGATCTCGGCCGCTACGGGTTGGCTTTTACAAGTTAGTATCCCAAATTTCTATTGTATAATTCGGCATCTTATTTTCTCTCGGAGAAATTAGAAAAACAAAATGTATCTCAATTTATCAAAATTTCTAGAAAAAAGATCTAGACTATGTTTTTAACAAATAAACCCCAAATTCTATTATTGTTCTACAAATAAATTTAAACTTCTAAAACATATTATATTTAATTCTGAATACTGATATTACGTTCTGAACAACGATGTCTCAATTTTGAAACGTCACAACGTTAGATACCACGTAATAATAAAATACATGTCATACTTTTTAAAATAAATAATTTCAAAAACTAAAATGAATTAAATAAACAAAAATAGATATAATTATAATATATACATACATGCATGTATACATATAAACACACATATATATACGTACATATATGTATATACATACATATGTATACTATATATACAATTATATATTATATGTATATGCATATATATATCTGTATATATATGTTTATATGTATATATATGTATGTGAATATGTATATATGTATTTATGTATATATTTATTTTTTATTGATTTTTTATATTTTAATTTTTTAAAAAATATTATGTTTATTTTTTTATTACTTGACTTTTAATGTGATAATATTTGGTCAAAATTGTAATTGATGTGTCACTTAGTGATGGTAAACTGGGTTGGATTTAGTGAGTTTACCCAACCCAACCCACTAATAATTGGGTTAATTATTTTTATTACTTTTATTTTGTGGGCTTAATGGGTTTCAACCAAATAAAATGGGTTCAATAAAATAACCTAATTAACTCATTAAAGAATTATCATTTAAATTTTATTTTTGAAATTAGAGGAGAACCGCGCCATGCGCGGTTTATTCTATTTTTATTGTTAATATAAAAAGATCTTTTTGTCGTTATTGACATATATATACATATATATATATATAAGGAAGAATTGAAACAATTTAAATATTATTCCGTTCTTATATTATAAAATTATTTTTATATATGCGTTGAATAAGTCTATCAATCTAATTTTATATATTTTTTGTACGATGAGATATATGTTTGATCAATAGAATTGGAGGTACATCTTTACAATTAACATACATCTTCTCGAGTTCGTCGAGAGACCGACGCGATATGTCCACAAAATACACGAATTTTCAGGCACCTCCTTCTTTCATTTTTCTCGTGGACCCATTATCTTCACCGTTATTTTCCATCCGTCCGCTTTTCGTCTTCTGTCGTACTTTTGGCACTTTAGCTTTCCTCTCCGCTATTCACACCAATTAAACATCATGTCATTGATTACTCTATTGTTGTAATAATGTAATACAAAAAGTAAGAATGTAAGATAAACAAAATTGTAGGTGATAAGATCGTTCAAACTATAACCGAATATAATAAAACGGAATACAAAAAAAAGTTCCCTTGTCGAACCTCGTAGTTGTAAGAGTAGGCATTACTTGCAACCTTGTTAGTGTAACTCTATTCTCGACATTTATCAGAAATTTTTCTTTTCAAGAGTCCCGAAACAAAAATATAAATTAAAAAAAAAGTTAAAACGTTATAAAAAGTTTCATCCAAGCAAAATATATCATTGCTCCGATCCTCCAAACCAAAAGGTTTAGACTTCGACCCCATTTCACATCATATCTGGTTTTCGACCATAACTTACCATTCCATCCGAGAATTTACCGGCGGCCATCTCCGGGCCTTCTGACCGGAGCTGAAGTCCTTGTCGTTGGATTGGATATCAGCGTACTGGCATATCCTGATCGTAGAGGTGCGAGCTTCTTCTTGGAACTTCTGCAGACTGTGAGAACCGCTTGTTTATCCTTTGGCTCCCATCTCTTGCGTTTCTCCATCCTCGAAGCCTTTCCTAGTCGATGCAAACAACAAATCTCTAATATAAACCAATCGAAATCTGTGACCTGTAAATATTTCTCAAAGTATGGAGCGTGAATCAAAGTCTCATAGCATGAAGTGAGTTGGTGTTGAATCGAGTTTCTGATCACCGAACGCTTGAAACGTAGAATTTTATTTCTGTAACAATAACCTGCTGAGAAAAGAAAACATGTTTAAACATGAGAAAATATGAAAACCATAAATGAAGGTCACATCCCATATACACTCCTATATATATATATATGTATACATACATCCAGACATATTCAGATATATACAGAGAATGAGATACATACTCAATTCATTGATTTACATGAAAATCAAGTCAATCGAGTATGAAATGCACCGAAAAACAGACCGATCGAAACTACGAAGCTGGGTTGTGCTGGTCACCTCTGAGCAAATTCACTGGAATATACTCGTAAGCAAGCCCTGAAGTTCACCAAAAACAATGACAAAATGGATCCAAAAAAAGATGGGAAATTTTGGGTTTTTATACGCGATAGAAGTCGAAATTTAAAACGAAAACCTTTGAAATTGAGAGCGATTCGAACGCTATGGGCGCATGAGCTTCTCCCGTAAGAGTATAGCTTCATCTTCTCCTTTGCCGGAAATCGTCTGATGAGACAGCAATTTAGGATATTACCACGGTCATCGAACGAAACAGCCAAAAAAAATTGGAGAAGCAAGTTCCTTTTCCACACATCCAGAAGAAAAAGCTCTGTCACATGTACTTCCAAGATAGCACCGCAACGAAAGACACATCACATATATATATCAAATTGGAATTAAATTGTTAACTAATGCTAAGAAAAAGAGTGGATAATAATTTTTATCTAATGCTTTTGGTGTTTTTTTCATCTAGTAAATACGTTTGGCCACATATTTTGGTTTTATTTTTTTATTTTGAAATTATAATAACCCATTACTAATTTCTATTATTATATCGTGTAACTAATTTTTAAAAAACATATATTCCATATGTAAAATTAAGTGCTAATCTAATCAATATATATAACTAATGAATATTTTAATTTCTCAAAGATATATTTTTCATGTGTAAAAATTAGTGATAAAATGATCAATATATATATATATATATATATTATTAATTATCTTTTTATTAGCATATAAACTAAAGATAAATTTTTTATATTTTAAAATATATAATAATAATAATAATGTGTTTTTTTAACTAATTTTCATTATTATATCTTTAACTATTTAATAAAAACATATTTTTCATGTATAAAAATTAGTTCTACATTTATTCAAATATATAGCTAATGAATATGGTAAATGCTAATAAGAATTTAAAAAAAATATCACATGGATGATGATGTGGAGGATGATGTGCCTTCATTAGCTAGATTCTCGTCGAACTCCATCTTAGCTTCATTTTCGGAAACAGAAATCTACCATAGGATATGAGGTGAGATGGAAGAGAAGAAGGAAATAGTGAAGACATATATTTCCTTTGATTCGCGAATCCTCCATTGTGTTGTTCGTCTTCGTCGCTTCATATCAGGTATGTTGATTCTCTGTCTCGATCCACTTCCCCGTTATATAGATGTTCAATCTGATCAATTTTTTAGAAGTTTTTCTGTTGCTTCGCTGCTTTCCGGTTTTTTCTCACTAGTCTTGCTCTCATTACTATCTCAATTAGGCCTGAGTTCGCGTGTCTGTTTTCGTTTTGCTTGCAATGCGCTGGAGATTCCTGTGGTTAGGGTTTCAAGGTTTTAAAGGATTTTGAATTCGATGGGTTTAGATGAACCAAATTATGAATATTAGAGTATGAGTTCTCTTCTGTGAATGAGAAAGGAATCTCCTTTGAGGGGACTGATACTTCCAATGGGGCGAACTTCAGAGATACCCTTCTTGCGTCACATCTCTATCACCGATACACCCCTCAAAATGTAAAAAAAAAAACTATCAGATTATACACCCTAATTAAAGTAAAATGACATATATAACCTGAATGGAAAAATGACCAAAATACCCTAATGAATTAAAATTTAAAAACGTGCACTACACTTCAAATTCCATCATCTTTTCTCTCTTCCGTCGACATTTTTCTCCTGATGTGTTCTCTCTGTTTCATCGTCATTAAAGGTAAATCATCTCCAAATCTTAGTTTTTTTTTCCAGTTTATTATGCAATCGAAGGCAAATTTCGGTGAAGATATAAGATTCAAGTAAGACCCAATGATTTTCGAGTATTATTATGTTGTTTTTTCTGTTATAGGGTTTGATATTATGAAATAAAAAATACTGTACACATTGCTGTAAAGAACGAAATTTTGGGGAAAATGATAACTGTTGATGTTTTTACAGGAATATGGATGATTATGAAGATTGTTATACATCTATTTGCATTCGGTACGGTGGTTTTTGGGAAAAGAATGAAGATGCAATATTTGAATGGAAAGGAGAGGAAGACAATCGGAAGACTATATGTGTCTGTAACAAAGCAAGTCAGGTGACATATGAGGAGCTTGTTCGATGTATATGTGATCAGCTTAAAATGGAATTAGCGACACCAAAATTAAGCTTTTTACCGATGGTCGTTGATGGAAAACAACCGGTATATATATTTGACGATATGGGTGTAAAATCCTTTTTGTTCAGCAAGACAAATGGGCGACGAGGATGGATATATGTCGAGCAAAAGGATGATGATGAATGCGTTGCATGTAATACGTGTGTAGGTGAAGCATCAGCTAAGGGTGGAGATATTGCAAATACCAAAGAAGGTAGAGATATAATTGAGACATGCGGTTTAGTTGTGGATTGTGTGTTAGGAAGAGTAGATGGAGAAGATAGAGAACATAATCATGATACATTGTTTGGAGATTCTTGTCGGGTTGAGCATCAGACTTTGCATGAGGGCATACGACATGACAATGAAGTGGAACCTGCGACTAACGAAACTGAAGTTGAAATTACGACTCAGATGGGTAATATAGATGAAGCAGAGATATTTAATGAAGTTGAGAATGGTGGTCGAATACATGAGGGTGGTCGTGAAGATTTCTCATTTGAAGACAGAATGGGTTTTACGGTGGGTAAAGAGTTTCTGAAAAAGGTCGAGTTAACGATGAAAGTAAAGAAAGCTTCACATGATTCATGTTTTGAATACTACGTTTATAAGTCAGATCGACATGTATGGGAAGCAAGATGTCGATTCCGAGAAAAAGGTTGCTTGTGGAAACTGCGGGCATTTAAAAAAAAAGAATTCGCAGGGTTTTGTAGTGACGAAGCACGTTAACGTTCATACATGCTCTCCTGTACTTGAAGAAGAGAAAGAAAGAGTTGGAAGTATAGACATGGTTGTTAATTACTTGAACCGTCATTACGCGGGTCAAGTTGATCTTCCAATAGTGAAAAGGGTGATGTCATTGGTGTGTAAAGCTTATAAGTGCAAGATATCGTACCTAACGGCATGGAGAGGGAGACAAAATGCGATTGATGGTGTTTGGGGAAACCCGAGCGAAAATTACAGGAGACTTCCAAGTTATTTTCATATGTTGAAGGAAAGAAATGAAGACACGGTTACACATATTCAACTTGAAGAAGACGAGCAAACTTTTAAGTATGCCTTTTTTGCTTTGGGTGTTTGTATCAGAGGCTGGATTGCAATGCGAAAAGTAATCGCAGTAGACACAACATCTTTGAAGACAGCTTATAAAGGATTTTTGATTGTCGCAACAGCCCAAGATGGAAATCGACATTTATATCCCCTTGCTTTTGCCGTAGTTGATTCAGAAAATGATGAATCTTGGAATTGGTTTATGATGAAGATGGAAATCGACATTTCTCAGCTTCTTTCTCTCCCTCTGTGTCTGCTTCCTTCTCTTGCTCAGCTTCTTTCTCTCCATCTGTGTCTGCTTCCTTCTCTTTCTCAGCTTCTTTCTCTCCCTCTGTGTCTGCTTCCTTCTCTTTCTCTCCCTCTTTCTCAGTTTCTTTCTCAACTCCTCCCTCTTTCTCATTGACTGCTTCTTTCTCCGCTTCCTTTCTCTGTTCTTGTTTCTCACTTTCAACCACTATTGGATCATCTTTTTCTTCTTGTTCTTTTCCCTCTCTTACTACGATTTCTTCTTCTTCCACTCCTTCTGTCTGGTCTAATGCGTTAAGAACATCAAAAATCACCATATCCGGTTCACCATCCACATCTTCTCTATGCAGACATGTCTCGGGAGGGGTTGTTGTGTATTGGGCTGAACTCTCACCCTTTTCATTCCCACCCATAGTCTCGGTCATCTTCTTCATTAAAACATCAATTCTAGCATCGACTTCAAAGGGATTGTCATAATTACCTTATGCGATTATACCGGCCACAATCACTTTCTTCATGTTTTCAATAACTTCCTCTTCAAATTTCTTTATCTGTGCACCTTGATCTTCAATAGCAGTAAACAACTTATCTTCTGTCTCAACCAACTTCCTTCTCACAACTTCAACCTTTGAACTCGTGTACCTCATCTCAGATCTCATCATGTCATTTCAGATCTCAACATGGTCAATTCCTTACTATAGAGATCTGAAATGACATGATGAGATCTGAGATGAGGTACACGAGTTCAAAGGTTGAAGTTGTGAGAAGGAAGTTGGTTGAGACAGAAGATAAGTTGTTTACTGCTATTGAAGATCAAGGTGCACAGATAAAGAAATTTGAAGAGGAAGTTATTGAAAACATGAAGAAAGTGATTGTGGCCGATATAATCGCATCAGGTAATTATGACAATCCCTTTGAAGTCGATGCTAGAATTGATGTTTTAATGAAGAAGATGACCGAGACTATGCTTAGGGGTGTTGCAGTGAGGGATAAAGAACCAGACGATGTTATTGACTGTTGGATGGCTTATTTGACTGAGGAGCCAAGATCTGTGAAGTGGAATGATATTCTCGAGGAAGATGTCAGATCTCGCATTGAAGTTCCATTGATGAAGCAACAGAACAAAAATCCATCGCTGCGAAGTTTAGGAATGCACTCGAATGGTAACATCTGCAATATCAACTACACAACATTAATAATGTTACTTTATATCTCACACTTTAATCAATTAATTTAAATAACTTACAGTGAGAGGGATTATGAAACCTGGTAAATTCCACTGATTTACCGGTTTTCTGTGCTTGTTCAAGTAATTATGCACAGATCCAAGAACATTCTGGAAGGTAAATGTTCCCCATGGGAATGTTTCACAGCACTTCACATCATCAACTATCTTCAACAAAAAGGGATTAACAAACTCCGAATGTTGATGTCCTATCACATAACTTAGCAACAACAAATATGCCATCTTCAATCTATCCTCTGTCTCATCTTTAGGCAATTCTGAAAACATTGCGATTGATGGTGTTTGGGGAAACCCGAGCGAAAATTACAGGAGACTTCCAAGTTATTTTCATATGTTGAAGGAAAGAAATGAAGGCACGGTTACACATATTCAACTTGAAGAAGACGAGCAAACTTTTAAGTATGCCTTTTTTGCTTTGGGTGTTTGTATCAGAGGCTGGATTGCAATGCGAAAAGTAATCGCAGTAGACACAACATCTTTGAAGACAGCTTATAAAGGATTTTTGATTGTCGCAACAGCCCAAGATGGAAATCGACATTTATATCCCCTTGCTTTTGCCGTAGTTGATTCAGAAAATGATGATTATTTGGTTCGAATTGTTGACCATATGCCGATGGCTAGCGATTCGAGTCAACTTCTGAGACATTAGATCACTTACGGATCATGGATATTAGTTTGAGTTGATTTTCAGATCATCGGATTATCCACCGAGAGACGGATACTGGTTTTTGTCGATATGTAGGGACTAGATCAACGTGTTGTCTAAATCTGCTCATATCTTTCAGCACATATATTAGATCTGCGCAATCATGGTGTATATATGTAGTTATTAAAAAAAACTTTCTAATAACATAAAGAAAGAATAATTTGGACACGTTTTGTGGAAGTTAT